CGAACTAAATAGGTCTATCAAGTCTGTAAAAGTCCATAACTTTGCTTGAAGTCCGTAAAAGTCAGTTTTTTTTTAAAATAGTCCGTAAACTCAGTAATTTTATTCAAAAAGATGAAAAGTTTGTGAATTGTACAATATAATTTGGATAATTTTAGAGAATTCTTGGCAAAATTTTAATTATTTCACTGAGAAAACTGGAGTATTGGACTCAACATCTAGAGGGACAAATCGTTCATATTTGAGAGTTAGCTATTGGATAACAATCTAAATGTTCAAATTCACCATTGACAGATATTCGTGCCATTTCTCTAACAGAGGGACAAATTAACCATCTTGAGAAATCCCTTCCTTATCCGGCGCGAAATGAATAAATATGGCAACCTAACCCCTAAATTAAATAGGGGAGAGGGCCCCAAGGTGGTCAGGGCCCTAAGGTGATCACCCTAAGAAAATTTTTGTATATTAGTTAGTATCTTCAAATGTTTTTTGTTATTGTTATTATTTGAGAAGACAAAGATTTTAGTAAAGTTTTGAGGTAAATAGTCGTATGAGTCTCTTTGTAACGTGAACATCGTAAAATTTCTGTTTTTAAATGATCGAGAAATTTTTTTCTCAGGGTGTTAAAATCATCGAAATTAACCATTTTAAATTAGTAAAAATCGTTATAATTATCTTTATACATCGTACAATAATATTCCAAATAAATATAATTAATATTGTGCTTTAAAAAATTTTTTCATTAACGTTTAAAAAATTGTGTCTTGGCCCTAAGGTGGACACTTTTTTGGCCACAAGGTGGTCACTTTTGATTTTTTATGAAAATGTGTTTATACGCTATATTTATCAACATTTATCACTGTGAATGTGAATTTTATCAATTTCTAAGTTTTATGATGAATAATAATGAAATAGAATTATTTTCAAAATTTTACCTGTCTAATACATACACAAAAAGTATCATTTTTGACGAAAGGACAAAGTGCAAAAAAAAATATGTAATATGTTTCTGTGATCCTGAAAAACAATTAATATTAAATAAACAACTTAATAATACGTTTTTTACATTTTTTTAAAACTTTTTTAGTGAATTTTTGTATGGTGACCACCTTGGGGCCACTTTTTTAAAAGTCGAATTTTCAACTTTTTTTAAAAAGTGCCATAACTTTTTTTTTATTAATGAAATGAAAAAAACTTTATGATAGGAAGGTAGGTAATAAGATAAAGTTTCAAACGCCGTATTATTGATCTTTATATATAATTCTATTTGAAATCTACAGTCCTTCAAAAGATGGGTGACCACCTTAGGGCCCTCTCCCCTACATAAAATGTCAGAAAAATAATTTCGCGCGCATCAGATCGTACACATTTTCTGTGCAACTTTTAACCCTCAGATATAATGGGAGAGAATATACAAGTAGATTTCCATTATCAATTCAAAATTTATTTTAGAAGGACTATTTAACTCTCTTCATAAGCAAAGGAAACATACACTTTTTGAACCTCTGAATTTGACTCTCCAGTTTTCTCAGTGTTTCAAAAATTTTCCTCAATACAATGATTTTTAATGTTTACTATTTTAATAAAGTTTTCCTAAAGATTTCAATTATTTAAACAAAATTTAACAAAATTCGACACAAACCTTTACTTATTTTCATAAAATAATAAAAATTTCACAGGAATTACATTATTTACTTTTAAAATTTCTTAGCAACCATTCAATTATTTTCATAAATAATAACATTTTTACAGGGATTAAATTATTTTCGTAAATAATAAAATTCTTTTTAGGAATTAAATTGTTTTCATAAATAATAAAACTCATTGCAGAATTTCAATTATTTTTAATACAATTTTAATCGATTCCTCGATAAATGTAATTATTCCTAAAAATTTTATTAAAATTCGTCAAAATAATTCAATTATTTAAAAATTTATTGATAAAATTCTCTATGAGAATTCAATTTTAAGAAACATGCAATTATTCTATAAATTGTTATTTTATATTTGAGTAATTTAATTCTAGTAGAATTTTCTAATAAAAATTGATTTAAAAATGGATTTCAGTTCAAATTTTAGATTATAATTGAATATTAAAAGCATTAGAGCGTTAATTTTTAGAAATAATTGAATTTTGAAAAGGTTTCCGATTAAAACCTTTAAAAATTTGAAATTTTCATAATTTTAACAAACAATTTTGTGGAATTAATTTTTTATGAGAAAGTTTAATTGCAGATTTTTTTGTTGAAATTATTTCAAGTTTTCATTTTCTAATATATGTAATTATATTTAATTAAAGAATTTACAAATAATTTATATTTTCTAAAATTGAATTGTAAACAAATGAATTTTGAAAATTCTCAAAGAACTTTTTCAAAAATGATTAAAAATAATGCATTCATTGAAGAATTTTAGTTAAAAACAAGAAAGAAAAACAATATTCTTCGCAAAAATTAAACATTGTTTAAAAATAATAAAATTCTTCTTAAAAATTCAATTATTTTCACAAATTATAAAATTCGTCGCAGTATTTCAATTACTTTTAATGCAATTTTAATCAAATTTCTCGAAAAATGTATTTATTCTTAAAAATTTTATTAAGATTTTTCGATAGAAATTAATTATTTAAAAATTTGTTGATAAACTTCTTTATAGGAATTGAATTATATGAAACATTCAATTAATTGTTTAGTTTTGTATTTAAATAATAAATTGACTTCTAGTAGAATTTTCTAATAAAAATTTAATTATTAATAAAAACGACACATTCGGGCAACAATGTTACTTTTTATTTTTTAAAAGTCCAACGTTTCGAGTTAAATCATTATTTGAATGTGACAGACTTAAAAATTGTCAAATGATAATTTATTTATTTGACTTTGCATTTTTTTTAAATGGTTAATATTTTAAATTGTATACTTTTTTATTATGTGCTTTTAAAAATAATTTAATTATGTTTTTAATATGTCCCTAAAGAGGATTTTATGATTTAACTCGAAACCATGGACTTTTAAAAAATAAAAAGTAACAGTGTTGTCTGAATGTGTCGTTTTTAATAATAATTAAATTATTCTCGGACGTTAAATTTCTATACAAATAAAAATCTATTTAAAAATTAATTTCAGTTAAAATTTTGGATAATAATTGAATCTATAATCACTATTATATAATCTATTTTATCACTCGGTCATCTTTAATTATTATAAAACATGAAGAAATATCTTTATGTTTTATAGTTATGAAAAATTTAATTTATAGTTTTGAGTAAAATGTTCTTTTATTTGACTCGGACTAGTTATATTTTTGTCAGTAATTGGTCCGTAATTTTTCATTTTTGGTCCGAAAAGTCCGTATTTTTAAATACTTTAATTGATTCGTGCCTGGAAATTAGAATTTCCTCTGTGATCAGAACGTTATCCGAAATTTCATATTGCATTCCTATAAAAAATAAATATTTATATACAATTATTCATAATCTAAAATAATATTAATTTTGATACATTATTTATATAATATTGAGGCATTTTTCTAGATAATTTATAATATATTGACATCGAAACTAATGAATTGTGAAAAAGAAGAAGAGTGTATGAATAAAAAGAGATGATCTCGTGCAGTTATAATTTCCCCTCATGTGTATAGTCGGTACGAGATAAAGAAGAGGTTAAGACGTCGGGCAATAGGGGCCTCAGGTTCGACGGAAAACAAATGAGCTTTTGACGGGCGAGGTTGAATGCGGCCCTTTTGAGGGTCTTTTGACTTGAGCTGCCGGGGGTCAGGACTTGTCCGTTCACGGTAGCTCTTTACCTTCTTCGAACTCCCTCTCTCGTACCATTTTTTCCGTTCGTCATTCCGCACCCGTTAAATAATAATAATAATAATAATAATAATAATAATAATAATAATGATGAAGAATAAGATGGGACAATGGTCTTGTATGATGGGCGCTCAACTTCCGAAGCTGGAAGAGTTAAATAATGAACTGTCCGATTGATCATAATTATCCTTTACCTGGTGTTAGATAGAGAAATACTTTTTATTGTTCGCGCTGATAGAGTTTGTAATTGCCTCTGTTTACAAATCAAAAAAATTACGCAAGAACTCAAAAAAAAAAAAAAAAAATTATAGAAACTACGTGAAAGATCAATTTTTTTTTAATTTCTCTATTTCTGTATAACATCTAATCATTAATTTACACGAAAAAAAGTTGAGATGAAAATCCTATTGATATGTTACTTGTTTGCTTGCTACAGATAACTGTTTCTCGTTAAAGGAATCATCGACATAATTTTCTTTTGATAAAATGTAAGTTGAACGAGGGTTGCTGGCAAAAAAAATTATTCTGATGCCGCGATGAAAGAACTCATCTCAATTGCGACCTGCGTCAAAGGAACCAATTTAAAAAAAAGAATTTCCCTTCCAAGATTATCGCAGCGACTCTCGCTCCAGAAGTGAACGAACGCAAATGAAAAATATAGACAACGAAAAATTCCAAATTGCGCGTTCAACTTTGTCGACAGTTATAGTTTGTCTCCGTCAGATGACTTTGAACGCTTTTTTAAAACTTTTTAAAATACGTTGCATTTAGTTTCGATTTGTTTAAAAAAAACTAAAAATCCTATTTTCAAAATTTCCTAACTTTTCGATCCCTAACTATAATTATTCTTTTTCTTTAATACATAAATTGTAAAATTATTTAAAATTCTGCATTGATGATTTATATTATATGATTATTATTATATTATTATGATTTATATTACACTTTAAAGTAACAATTAATAAACAAATTATTTAATAATAAACATTGACTTTAGCGAAGTTTTTTAATTTGTTATTTCTTTCGATTAATATTCCCGCAGAAGTTTTTTCTAATTTCTGTAGTTTTTTCCTGTTTTGCGACCTATTTTTTAACAAAAATTTTAAAGCAGTAAAACTGTATCAAATAAATTTATCAAATTTCCAAGTCATAATAATTTTTAAGTACTTTTGAACACGACATCACTATACAGCAAAAAGAAATTTAATAACTATAAATGTATGATAAGTTCTTTTTAAATTTTTATGCGTTACACATATGTACAATTTTAAATGCAGCCTGTACTGCAGTTAATATACTTTAATTCGTCTATTGTGCACACATTTATTGAAACTGAATCAGGTAATACACTTTTATCATTTTTTAATTTTTCAAATTGTTTTCTTTTGAAAAGATACTATTTTTGTAAAAAAGCAATGGAGCAGGATAATTAACGATAATTAAACTTACTATGAGAAATATAAATTTAACACTCCTCAAATTAAGTTCTAAACAGAAGAGTGTAAACTTTTTTAAGTTTGACACTCCTCATGGTAAATTTTATTTTTCTTTTTTCTCCGTGTGGTGACGATGGTTGGCCAAACAATACTCATAACAATGTTTACCTAACTTAAAATGCATATGTTGAGCCAACCATACTTTTGAATGGTTGGTCCAAAGACTGACGCCAATGTTGGCACAACTGTAAATGCGTCTGTTGTGCCAACCACAATTTTCAAAGTTTAACTAACTTTGCAATTAACACTTGGACCAACTTCAACAGCCAAAGTTTGGGCAAACTATATAAATGATAACAACTCATCATCCATTAGCAAGGATGGTTGGCCCGATAACTTATCCCAAAGCTTTTCTAACTTTAAATAGATTAAATAACAACAATAAAAATTATCGGGTGTGTCGAACTTCGTGAGACTTTAATATTTTTGGATTGAAATAAATGAGGATAAGGGTTCGGCTGACGACAGTCGACACAAAGGTTGATGAACGAAATCTTCTCACATCAGAATACGATTTTACCTGTAGTTTAAACAAATGAGCCCAGAGTTTAGTCAACCAAAAAGTTTAAGTTATCTAAACAATGTTCCCTACAGTTTTACTAACTGTTGGGCCAACAATGTCCAAAAGTTTATCTAACTAAGAAATTTAAATATTTTCAAGTACGTTTTTTATAGTTTTACCAAATATCGGTCCAACCATGAGTCAAAGTTGACCCAACCAAGAAAAATTGTCACTTAAACTAAGTCTGCCAATCGTTGGGCCAACCATGTTCAACACGTCAACTATGGTCCATAGTTTGGACAACCGAAACTGTAACTGTCTGTTAAACTACGTTCACATGCTAGATATTAACGCTTAACATCCAGATATTTACTTTTATTTACTTTTTAATATCTAGATAGCTGTCCCTATGTTAAAGAATAAAAATATTAAACATTAACATCTAGATATTTACCTTAAATATCCAATTTTCTCTGTGTGATTTGAGGTGTTCTTTAGCATTCCCCAGGTGAAAATGATTCGTACGAATTTCGTTCGGAGTTCGTTAAGAATTCGTCTAGAATTCGTTCAGATTTCGGGTTATATTCCGATATATTGATGAGAAATAAACAATACACACGGAAATACGAACTGAATTCTGTCCGTAAAATTAATGTGGATAATTAAATACAAATCTATATGGTTATACTATCTTAATGTAATTTAATTGGTTGTTCTCATATTTAAAATTAAATTAACGCATTTTGTTTACGTTGATATTTACAGCAATAAAAATACCTCTAGTGGAAATATTATTGTCTGATTTTGACAAATATGTTACGATTGCAACATTCTTTGCTTATATTCTCTTTGGTGATCTACCTGGTAAATGGCCGTACAAAACATGTAAGTTTAATTAAATAAGTATATTTTACAAACCGGAAAGATGAGGGGAATAATTTTCCAAACTACTTTCAAAAACATTTCTTTTTAATTTTACAAATGAGTTAAATAACCCTATGATATTTAGGATAAAGCGGGAAAATCAAGTGAGAATTCATCATTAATACCAAAGACAGTGATAAAATACGTAGAGGAAATTGAACGTCGTGGAATGAAAACTAAAGGTTTGTACAAACTAACTGGCGATGAAGATGAAGTAAGGGGACTGATAAGCGTTGTAGAAAAAGACAAAGCTGCAGATATATCGGATTATAACATTGAAGCAATTACCACGGCGCTCAAAAAATTTTTGAGGTAAATTTAATTCATAGATTTATCATAAATGATAATATTAATTTAAAATAAAAAAAACTCACTTCGAAAACTACCTTAAAAGAGTCTCTCTTTAAATTCTTCTGAAATCTTTTCAAATGAAAATAATTTCTTTTTTACAAAATATTTCTTAAAAATTTAGAAAACATTTTCATGGAGAACTTGTGGATGAAGTAAAGGCAGGTCGATTGGTAAATGCTCTGCTAACGGAAACACAAGAAGACATGGAAAATGAAATGAAAAAAATAATTTCTAAAATTCGTCGAAAAAATCGAGAGACTCTCGCTTATATGATTAGACATTTGCAAAAAGTTTTGAATGGAGGAGGTACTGTAATGAGTGCTTTGGACATTGCTAAGGAACTTTCGCCAGTTTTGATACGTGAATTACCTCCCAGTATAAATATAATGGAACAATTTGTACAAGAAAAAGAGATAAAACATTTTTTTAAGCAGACAACTCAGGTAATTATGATCCGGTTTTCCTTAATTTGAAAATTTTCAATTCAAATGAAATTTTAATTTCACAATTAAATATAATATAATAATAACATGTCTTATCCCCTTTTTGTAGATTGTCAGGAATCTTTTACTTATTTCAACTGATTTTTGGGAGGATTTAATACCTAATTTAACTGTAAGCATAATGTGAAAAATATTCAAATTATAATTGATTAACTTTTAATCGAAGTTGGTGAAACTGACCCTTAATGCAACTCACTTTCGGAATTCTGATTATAATTTTCATCGGAATTCTATTTGAGACCGGAACAAAATCGTAATTCCGTCTAAAATTCGATGGAATGTACATTTATAATAAATTATATTTCTTTTTTTAGAGTGATGAATCCGTTGTCTCGAATTCAGAGGAAGAAGGTGAAGGCGAAGAAAACAAAGAAGCTGAAGAAGGAGAAGCTGAAGTTTCAGAGGAAAAAAATAACTAATATTTGAAATGAAAGTGTCCCTTGAACAATCTCTCAGAATTCCGAAAGTAAATCGCGTCAGAATTCTTACAAGTGTAATTGAAAATTCAAATGAAATCTAAATCTAATCTCCATCATAATTCTGACGGAAAATATTCTTGAAATTCCGAGAGAGAATCTTCAGGGTATAGAGTATAGTGGATACAATATTTTCTATTTAGATAGAAAATAATTGTTAAAAATATCAATGAAATAATTTTGCTTCAATAAATAAGTAATTTATATTTTTAAATTTGAGAATCTTTTCAAACTTAAATTCCTTTATTGTTTACATTGCGCTAAAAAATAAGTCTTAGGTAACATGTATAATGATCGAAACTCCCTTCAAGAATTCTACCCGAGTCGAAATTTAAGCCCTACTTTCACCCTGAATTTTCAGGGTCTATTGAGTGTTAGGAGTAGTAAAGTAGGGTCTAATTCTAATACAATTAGACCCTACTTTGACTCCCAAAATAGGCGGAAATTTGCCAATCTTCCATTTGGAGAAGCAAAGGAGGGTCTACTTCTAAGAAACCTATACCGTACTTTTAAACCTCGTAGACCCTACTTTCATACTCCTAGACCCTACATTCTAAAAGAAAATTTAGAATTATTTTTTAATGCATTACTTGAAACACTGCAAATGCAAAAAGTACTCCAAATTCATAAATACTGATGTGTTTTATAGCGTCTATATACACTTCGTGTATATAAAACACATAAAATTCCACTTTTACTCATCCCAAGTGCTTCAATTGAATCTGAGCAAATCTTCAAATTTTTCTTTTTCTAATTGTAGGGTCTACGAGGTTTAAAAGTACGGTATAGGTTTCTTAGAAGTAGACCCTACTTTGATTCTCCAAATGGAAGATTGGCAAATTTCAGCCTGTTTTGGGAGTCAAAGTAGGGTCTAATTGTATTAGAATTAGACCCTACTTTACGACTGCTAAACCTGAATAGACCCTGAAAATTCAGGGTGAAAGTAGGGCTTAAATTTCGACTCGGGTAAGCTAATATGTAATAACAGTGTATTCATTATAGGTTTCGGTTTGAAATACACGTAGATTAAAAATATTTGTTACAGTAAACTTTGTTAATATTTTGTTATATGAAATTGAAAATGTTTTGTTTGAAGACATTTCTTGAGTATAAAATTTTATTTTTATAATATTTCATAAACGAAATGTATTACATCGTTCGACACTTATTTGCCTCTTGAATAATTCTGATGATCACTTTCATTATAGATTTTGGGTCGTTGACTACAAAGCTGCAAAGAAAAATCCTCTATCACGTCAAATTTTTGAGAAAATTTGTGTTAAGAAGCTTTTTTTGACCAACTTTAAATACGAATAAGTGAAATACAAGACCGAAATATCACCGCGAAGTTTGCACGAAACAAAACTTAAATAGGTCAACTATATTAGGAAGTTGAGAAAAATGAACCTAGACCTAGATACATTGTAGATACCTATTTTTTGTAATTACTTTAAAGTATGACAATTTTGTAAAATAAGGTGACCGTTCTCCAAAAATAGCCTCGAAACTGAATAGATCATCTTCAATACCCTACTGATCCAGGTAAGCATTAATATATATTTGATATTTTATGAGTTTTGTATTTGTATAAAATCACTCCCGTCTTTTGGTACTATCTTGTCTTATTTACTGCTGGTCCTTTCGAGTCTTCTTCGTCTCCTCAAGGACTGTGTGGTAGACTCCGCAGACTCCTCTGCCGGCGCCTTACAATCTCTTCCTATGTGCCCTCATGGAACCAATGATAACTTGTGACATCAGCACTCTCTTCCTAATTAGGCACGACATAAAGCCAACCTTTATACGTCCCATTTTCTGTAGCTATTCCGCCTTCTCTGGGTCAGTGACTAGAACCACAAGTTTCACTTCTCGTAGATTTAGTTAACCTCCTTGCGTTAACATGCAAAAGGCCATGCAAAAGGTGGCAAAGGACCTGAAGCTGAAGAACAAGATTCCTCTTAATCTTGTTCTTTAAACAAATTTTTTCAAAGTTTAAAGAATTTTCTTCTTTACACTGGTGCAGCTCCACCGCCTAAAGATAGGTGGGATGATGGGAGAGCTACAGGAACAACAGTAAATCGAAGTCGACCACCTCCAGAAGTGACTTCAGACCAAGACCACATCCGGCGAAAAATAAATCCATCCAAATCAGAGCAAAATCAGAAGAAAGACGCTTTCCTTTTAGTACCCATGGACGAAAGCAATAAAAAGTATCTTAGATTCTCCTAAAGAGGCCAATTATACCAGTTCAGATCACTGCCATTTATGTTGACAATAGCTCCATTTATTTTTCCAAAATAACAAACCCGGTCGCCAATTGGTTTTAATGAAGAAGGGCATCAAACTAGTCGTATATTTGGACGATTTTTTAATATTTGATCGTATCATCGAAGAATGTTCTGCCAATGTCAATTCTGCTATTGACATTATATCACTCTCAACAGATGGATTGACGGAGGCAGAATAATGCGGAAATCATAGATTCTCGAAGCAGAAAGTAAAATTCGATCTTCCTCCTTCAATTTAAAGATTTTCTCAGATGCGTTCGGTACAAGACAAGCTGGATAGCAACATACGGCGAATTACGAGCTGAAGGTTTATACAATAAAATCATAGCGCGAAATACCAATTAATTTTTTGGAATTGAAGGAAACTTTTTTATCCTTAAAATGCTTCGCGGCCAACAAATTCAACAGGCAAATACCACTTCCCATCAACAATGTATGTAGGCTTTAGCCTACAACAATAAGATGGGAGGTACGAAACACGAACACTTGCTGAATACGTGACCCCTAAGAAAAATCCAGCAGACCAATGTTGATACATTTCGTAAAAACTATTATATAATTACCGCGTTCTTCCCATATAATTCCTGAATATTTGTTTAAAAAGTTTGACGTTTCTTCTGAATAACAGGTCTATAACAATTCCCGACTTTTGCTAATATCCTCAATTTCTTTCATACCTCCTTCGTTTGAGTCAATTGCAGGTCTAATATATTTTGCACAATATTTTCTAAAAGTTGATTTTTGATGTTATATGACGCATTATCAATCAACTTGAGATGACATATTTTTGGCTCTTTCTTTTAACTACAGTGGTGTTAACATTTACCTCAAATTTCAGGTAAATTTCAAAACCTTAGGGTAAATAAAAACAGTCAACAGAAAATTTGAGGTCTTAAAATCAGTAAATAATTGGATTAATGCAAATTGTTTTAGTTAAAATTAGGTTTAAAACAAATAAAACTTTTATTTCAACCAAACAAAATTTATTTTCGACAAATAAAAAATCTCTTTAGCTATGAGTCAAATATTTGTTCTGGGTGTATATAGTTCGTAAGCTTGCTGCAATTAGGGAAATTTCAATTAAATTTTGAGTAAATTTTTAGTAAATTTTTGATGCTGTGTTAGTATGTAAAGAAAACTTTATCACTACATCCACTGTAGAACAGAAGGATTATATATAATAAGTGTCAGTAAAGTGGAAATTCAAGGCTTCAGAAATTCATTTCTGATTTATCGTAATGTCACACTGCTCCGGCAATTACTTCAGTAATAAATTCGCTTATAAAGTAAATTTTCTTTAATCAAGCTTTTTCCTGGTAATTTCAATAATATCATAACCCACATTTTTACTGAATATAAAAAACACTACTAGAACTATGTTGGAAATTTAAAACTAATTTGATAGAAAATAGTTTTGCAATTCGAGTGGAATTTTCCCGAAAATCTTTCCATGCGAAGAGAAACTATGTATAAAGAAATCATTTGTTTTAATATAGAAAATAATTTAATAAAGAAATATTGTAGACGAAGAAAAGACAAGTCAGTTAACAAATGCTTTAAGAATAAAAAATCAAGAAGCTATGGAAAATGAAATGAAAAATGTGATTTCCCAAATTCCTCAAATAAATCAGAAGATTCTCGCTTTTAAGATTTTACATTTGCAAAGGGCAGTTTGAAAGAATTTAAATTTTTTTAAAATTTTACTAGAAAAAGTGGTTTTATGGTTTACTTCTCGTTTAAAAAATTAAAAGAAAAAGAGTATTTTGGGTCAGGTTTTTTTTGTAAAATATAAAAAAGGTAACCTGACAGGTGCTCTTCTCTAAATTTCGCAACATTTTTATAAATAATTATTTTAAAAAAATTGTTTAAACATTCTGAAAAAAGTGAAAAAAGAGTTTCAGAAATTACTGCTCAATTACAATAATTTTTCGAAGAAATTATTTTATTAAAGATCTAAAGTGAAGTAATTTGAGATTACTTAGTTTAGTAGTGGCCACTTGAGAAGATTCTTAATCTGTTCGCTCTCATTTAATTATTCTGACAAATCCGAAGTTAATTTGAAATTTCCTTTTTTTCATTGTTGTCATGCTCGTGGCTATCTTTGATCTTGGTTACAGTAGTTCCGGATCAATTTTAACCGAAGAGATTAATCAAGAAATAGGAGTTTGCAACGAAGAGAGAATATGGATAATGTATTCTTGATCATCAAGTTTTGTGAGGTGAATCTCGTCTCAAAATCATCAGTTACAATTCTCGAGTCGTTATTTGAAAAATTTTAACAAAAGTAATGAGGCATTGTATGTTACCTCGGGACAGCAATACAATTCCTGTATGAAAAAGTTTTATCCCAAGGGCGTGTATAAGAAGTTGAAAATTGGTAAATCCTGTAGGTTTGCAAAAAATGTACCTCGCGGGACTAATTTTTCATTCCCTTCCTTTCGGTCTATTTGGTCAGGTTGTCTGAGCACTCGCTACCACCTTCCTGCCTCCAACGCAGATTATAAATCACACATCACTCGGTTTTGTAATACCCTCGAAAGATCATAAAAACTTAATTACCTTCGTTAATCGATGGCTGCCGAGATGATCTTTACACATTCATTTCACCCTCCAGCTTTTTTTTTTTTGGTTAATTTCTCTATTTTTTTTGTCACACCCCACTTTAAAAGATCTTGAAAAATGTGAATTAATTTCTCTAAAAATTTAATATTTGTTGTCCGTTAAATATTTTTAATTTGAATACAAATTGAAGATCCTAACTTTAATTGTGAATTAATGTTGAAGATAATTAACGATTAAGAACCTAGATTTTTGCGATGAAATGAAGTCAATTTGATATTTTTTATGCCTCGCGAGACTCTGTCAAGGTTTCCACATAGCGCCCTAATTGTTAAACATGAAAGTTGAAATCTGCTATTATAATATATGA